AGCGTTCGGCTCGTTCTCCTCGTACTTTTAAACCCTCCAGGTTTTGGATGACGCCATCCCCATGACTTTGAGGATATCCAACGAAATATTATTATGACAAGTTTCATGGATGAAGTCTTCGCTAATCGGATCCTGACAATTCATTACTTTGTTTTGGAATCGTTTGACGAAGTTCTCGACTAATTCTCCATCCTTCTGTTTCTCATTGAATAACGTTCCGATTGAAACCTCGGTGTCATCGTCAAAAAAATTTGTAAGGAATATGTCCTATATGTCATCCCAACTGTCGATATTCCCCGGCTTAAGACGGCGATACCAATCGAAGGCTGCTTCGCGAAGAGTGCCAACGAATGACCGTACCATCAAGGGCTCATTACCGGAGATTATCCCCAAATGAGACTTGAAGTATATTAAGTGCTGAGTAGGGGAACCATTTTTATCAAACGACGTGAAGTTGATCAAATTAAACTTGCCGGGTACGGGATTGATTCCCACTCTCTCGGGTATGGACACGGTATTCCGGACCTCTTTATTTCCCGAGCACTCATCAACGTATTAATTTTTCTCTCCAAGTCTCTCATCTTCTTATCCTCGCTCGTATCTTTCTTCGAGCGATTTCGGGGAGAAGTGACGTGGTCCTCTTTCGTATTGTTATCATCTGAGGGGCCACCCCCAGTATTGTTATCGACAGGAGGGGGATCCATGTTGGTATTCTCTTCCGCTTCCCGATCACTATCAATTTGGTTGGGATTATTGCGATGACTGGACTCTCCCTGCTAATTTGTCAGTGCCGTGATTTGTTGGTCATACATTTCTCTCATCTGCTGCATAGCCATCTCCATTTTAAATTTAAAATTCTCTTTCTGCTTGGTTAAAGCGTCCTCGAGAATTTTAGTCATCTGCTCCGTGCTGATCATGAGTGACTCATAAGATTGCCCTGCGCTAGATGCCGTATCATCGGAAGCTATTGCTGAGCAAGCATTTGAGCAAGCATCTGACGTTTTGTCATCTGAGGGTAGCCCCTTTTGCATTCTCTGGTAATCCCTTCGTCTACTGGTCCCCGATCATAATCGAGTTATTCGTTGGGATACTCCTGAAAACTGGTCAGGACTAAAGAGTCGTGTTGATTTCCCTCTACCAGTCATATTGACAGATACTTCTGAAAATTCATCATCTTGGGTGACTGATTTCTTTCTACGAAAATCTACCAGTCATATTGACAGATACTTCTGAAAATTCATCATCTTGGGTGACTGATTTCTTTCTACGAAAATGCCTTGGTTTGGATTCGGACGTTCCGATGAATATTCTTTCAAATACTAAAACTCTCTCTAGGGCAGTCTTAGGACAACAATATTCTGACAACACTGCCTTGATGATCTTGGCACACGGACAACGAGAATCCATTTTTCAGGTACTTCTTTTTCGAGACTTTTTCGAGACTTTTTCGTATCCCCAGGTTGATAATACAACTCATCAGTCTGATGATCGGAGCAAGCCATCGCATGTCGGCACGACTCCCCAGGTATAACGTTATCATCAGACGAATACACTTCCCTCTGGGGACTCAACGCTTTGTTTGCGTCTTCAGGAGTAACACGTTTGACGCTATATTTACGTGAGCGCAGGACCTCAACGGGTTTCTGGACTTCGACACGCAATCTAATGCGGTCAGTTACAGGACTTTTCCATCATGCGTTCTCCTCCATTGCTTAGGAGGACGACTACAGCCTCCAGCCTGAAAAACAGTTCGAGATCTGTTCAATGGGCCTAAGTGCTCTTTGACTGGAGCCTTGCCTTGATCATCGTGTGAAGGGCCAAGGCGATCTGTGATCTTTATCTTAAACTAGGACAAATCTACACTATAGCGAATCTCCACCGGAGGTGCGGAACTCGATGGAATCGAAGAAACAGGTGCAGAACATCTTCTGTCTCAACCCTGGCGCGGGTTAGACTTGAGTGACTTACGGGTTGGAGGGTCAGACCTAAGTGACCCACGGGTTGGAGGGTTGGATCTGGGTGTCCCACGAGCTGGAGGGTCAGATCTGGGTGACCCGCATGCTGGAGGGTCGGATCTGGGTGTCCCGCGAGCTGGAGGGTTGGATCTGAGTGTCCCGCGGGCTGGAGGGTCAGATCTGGGTGACCCGCGTGTTTTGATCTTTTTGGCCATCGTCTTAGACTTTGGCCTCCATACTTTGTGTAGTCTTTGTGGCTTCTTTTCCACTCCTTCATTCTATAATTTTTTGGCCTCTTGCACAAGAATTCTTGCATGTGCAAGCAATGCGTGGCGTTTCTATATCCGCTCTTGAAGATTCGATCGGGTCCTTTTGACGCGGACCCATTCATTCTTCACTGGTTTGAAGGAGGAGAGGTTGTCCACTCGCTGTTGTGGCGGTTGGCGCCTCCTGGACTTCAGATCCGCTTCATAGCGGATTCCATCAACCGGCTCCAAGGCTTTGGCCAGCTGGCGTGCGAGGCGTTGGCGTCTCCTCTGACGTGCTCTCTTTGATAAAGTGGGCACATCATCAACAATAAACCCCTTGCTCAAAGGGTTCAGATCCGTGGTTTCAGCCTCGTCGGATGCCGGCGGGGCGTTGTGAGCCACAAGCGGAGTAGTGGCGGGAAGATCTTCTTCTTGGGCTTCTGAAGCCGAAGTCCAACGGGTCTTCTTGGAGTAGGCCTTCCTGCACCTGCGAGGAGAGGCCGATCTGGAGGAGGAGGATAAGTATTCCTCGTACTTCTGCTGGTCGAACTCATATTCGATATCTGTTTCAACCAGGATGAGGATCCGAGGTTACGACACGTCAGCCTCCCACTGTAGTCGCTAGTTTGTTTTCGTCGAAAGTCGCCTTCATTATCGATTTCATTATAACTTTAATCATTTACAACGAATTCAAATAACAAAAATAAAAGTTACAACTCTCTTGAAAATAAACACAAGAATCGTTTATCGGCTCTTGCTTGCGTGGGTTCTCCGCCGGTGCCGGGGTTTATCTGTGGACGACCGCGGATCGGATCCGGTTGTCAGAAAATTGACGGAGCTCCTACTTCACCAAGGAAGTATTTTCTTGAAGCTCTGAAATCGATCAAGCAAAATCAGTAGCTCTTCTCGAGATTAAGACTAAGCATAATCTCAAGGAACAGACGTACGGGGCTTCGGATCCTTCGAAAGACTCCTCCTTTATGCTGAAGTTCACCGGGATCTCGTTGGCCTTCGCTGAAATTTCGTGCTCCTTGACTCCTCAATCCAGCAGCACCTTGTCCTCTTGATAAAATTCCAGCTCTGTAAAATGGAGGCCTTAGGCTGATATTTATAGGCCTCGGGCGCGGGTATTTGGATGAGAATGAGCGATTTGACCTTATCTTCAGTTAACAACAGCCTAATCACGTTTGTGGATGATATCAAATCAGTTGATAACCCCTGGAATAGATAAATCTTGTGAAAACCGCTTTAAAACCGTTGAAAACGTGTTTCAGGCTCTGGACTGTGCGACGGGTCCTGTTGACCCGCGGGGGGCGTAGGTCGGCAAGATCTGACCAGCGCTTGCGCGGGTCGGATAGATCCGACCCGCGTTGGCGCTGGTCGACCTGTACCGTCCCGTGCTGGCACGGGTCCGCCGCCTCCGCCGAGCTCCTTTTCTTTTGGCGCTTTTCTTTCCGGGACTTGTACTTTTCACCGTTTCATGTATTTGGTCGACTCGTTGACTTGTACACTTCGTTGCGAGACTGACCGTCGAACATGTCGGTCACTTGGGGCTGCCTGACGTACGCGTGTTGGTTGACGTACGCGCGTGTTAATTGATGCGCGCGTGTTAACTGACGCGCACGAGCTGATTGACGTGTGCATCGGGACAGACGTGCACGAGCTGATTGATGCGCGCATCGTGACCGACGCGCACGAGCTGATTAACGCCCGTGTTGATCGACACGCGCGAGCTGATTGACACGCGCGTGCTGACTGACATGCGCGAACTGATTGACGCGCGTGTTGACTGACGCGCGCGGGCTCATTGGGTAAGCATTCTTGACTCATCCACTCTTTGCTTCGAGTTTCGTGCTGGCTCTCATAGGCAATTTTAGACGCCTACACTAACATGTTCTATTATATGTTTATAAAAATTTCTCAAAATGTTATCATTTTTGGAGTTGATTTACTATGTTAAATTTATTTTTAAACTCAAGTGTTTCAGCAGTTTTTAGAATATGGAATATCTATTTTAAAACAATGATTTCTCACAAATAAAAAGTGATATTTCATAAATTATTCCTCTAACATGTTTATTTACATATTTAGATTTCACGATTTTTAATAAAAAGTGATATTTCATAAATTATTCCTCTAACATGTTTATTTACATATTTAGATTTCACGATTTTTAGAGTTGAGTTGTTAATTTTAATTGATTCCTCTAACATGTTTATTTACATATTTAGATTTCACGATTTTTAGAGTTGAGTTGTTAATTTTAATTGATTTTATAAAGTCAGCTACGCAGATTTTCAGGTTTCAGATTCTGTGAACAGTGTCTATGAATAGTGAGGTCGACCGAACACTGTTCATTGGTCGACCGAACAGTAATCCGTTGTAATAACGGCTAGTTTTTTTAGATTTTGGGTTTTGGTGGTTTTCTTGGGTTTTGGGCTATTGTTTTGTGCAACTATAAATACCCTTCAGCCCTCAACACTTACAATGAAAAAAGAAAAGTTTTAAAACAAGTTTTTGCAAGTTTGTTTTAAAATTTTAAAGATCAAAAGTGAATTTACTCTCAGGAAGGTTAGTGATGAAATACTTGTGGTATCCCTACATGTTGATGATTTGCTTGTTACAAGAAGTAGTATGGAGCATATTGAAACTTTTAAATAGGAAATGTAGGATGTCTTTGAGATGATTGATCTTGGGAAGATGACATTCTTCCTTGGTGTGGAAGTTCAACAAAAGCAAAATGAGATTTTCATATGTCAGCATAAATATGCCAAGGAGATTCTGAAAAAAATTCAACATGGAGGAGTGCAAGCCAAATGCAACCCCAATGAAACAAAAGGAGAAGTTCTACAAAGAAGATGGAGCTGCAAAGGTTGATGAAAGTCTTTACAGAACCTTAATAGGCTGCTTGATGTACTTGACTGCAACCAGACCAGATATTATGAATGATGTAAGTCTACTCTCAAGGTACATGCATTGTGCTAGTGAAATTCATTTTCAATCAGCAAAAAGAATTGTTAGATACATCAAGGGTACGATTGACTATGGTTTGAGGTTCTATCAAGTTAAAAATTTCACACTCCATGGTTATTCCGACAGTAATTGGGCTGGTTGTGTTGATGACATGAGAAGTACTTCAAGTTATTATTTTAGCTTTGGCTCTGCTATTTTCTCATGGTGTTCTAAGAAGCAAGAAATCATAGCTCAATCTACAGCAGAAGCAAAAGCAAAAAAAAATTTAAACATGTATATGGGCTTCAAAACAAATTCTGCAACTGTTAAGGGTTGATTAGAAAATAATCATTACTTTTAGATGGGTTACAGAATAGTTTTTGGTTTAAACAGGGAGCTGAAACTAATTTTACAGCAAAAAAATCTACACTGGTGGAATTTAGAATAGTTTCTAGGTCAAATAGGGGTCTGATAATAATTTTACAATAAAATTCAAATTATTAGGGTTTCGGGTTTGGGTCTGTTTGCGGGTGAGATCCGTTTCATCAATTTTTAATCTGATTTAAAAAATAGGTTGGGTTTAGATTCGGGTTCGGGTCAAACCCATTTATTTTAAACTTAATTGTTAGTGGGTTTGGATTCATAACCCATTAAGAAAAATAACTCAAGACTTTATCTTCTTCAACTAGGTTTAGGGTTTGGCTAGGGTTTGTGGGATGGCCCGTTGCCACCCGTAGTAG